CGGGATATCGATAGAAAAGCAACAAGGCATGGAGGTCTTGGGTGTGGATCTATCCCCGTCTGTGTCGATCAAGGACCGTACCGTTGTTGGAACTTCTGACAAGATTGAACGCATGCCTCTCACTTAGCTGGCCGGATAATTCGTTCCGACCGCGAAGCCGAGTAATTCAACTCAGGCCGGGAATCGTTCTGTTGTGCGCTCCTTCCGGGGAACGATCAGACTGAGCCCAAGGGCAGGCTTGGCCTGAGCATCCTGGCATCTGGTGTTCCAGATCGTCTTGCGCGTGATCTGGACCCATGAAATGTGTACCGGAGTTGTACCAAAGGTGACCTAAGGCTATCGTGGCTGGTAGACCTGGGTTTGTGTTAGGAATAAATTCCCAGCTGGTTGAAATCGATTCGAATCGCCGTCTCTCCCGGATAGTGAGAAACTTGGCTAGCTCCAACATCGTAGTAACTGTATTATGGAACATGATGGTTCGGATGAAAATGAAATTTCAATACCGGCTATGGTTACTATTGTATGCTTCTAATGATACCACATGTTTGGCACATAATAGTTGCTAATCTAGAAATGGTTAGTTATAATTAACTTGGTAAAGGAATCATAATTGTACAACGGATCAGTTGCCTTTTTCGCAAAATGTTGTCAAGTTACGTCCACTTATACAGCCTTTGCATAATCCTTGGAGTCATTTTATTTACGGTTCATGACGGGTAAGTCTAGTGAGTACCTTCTCGTACTCGGGGTTTATTTTCCCATTGTTGCAGATGGCTTTGTGTATCATGGTTATTGCAAGAGTTGCTTCTATCCCATTGTGGATGAGGAGTAAGCCTTGGGCGTGCTTCTTTAGTAATTCCTATCCTTGCTTTTGTGGACCGTGATCTAGCTTGGCAATTGTATCAAACTATGTTGGAAACTTTATCTTGAACTTATTTGCTTCCGCTTTATTTATCAAACTCGTTTTGTAATAACTTTTATTCGTACTCTGATGATGAAAAGTATCTGTGAACTTTATGTAATATGTGGCATGTATGTTGAATCCTGTACGATCTTGGTTGTTGTAAATCGTTTATCGAGACCCGTCGTGGTACTCGATGGACTACCGGGTTTATATGGGTTCAAGTATGACAGTGCGACCGCTTGCGGATTGCCATTGTACTTGTATTCTTATAAATTGGTCGGTTCTGCGACATAGGCTGTCCCACAGATTAAAAGACTTCTCCTTCAACTGCACAAAAAAATCAAGAAAAGGTGGCAACAACCAAAATCGATGGTATTTTTGTGTGTTTGGATGATGATGACTAAATCCACAAGCTTCTACTGTCACCGGTTGTTGTTACTGAAAAAAAGGCAGCCTTCAATCAATTACCTGCAGAAAAATACCAATGTTGAGTTTGTTTTGAATGTCTAATGCATGCTGTCAGCTGTAGGCTGTTTATAAACACGGTTGTTTATAACTTGGTCTAAGTATATATATATATATATATATGGTTCGGAGAAAAATGCCAACACAATTACCATATGTCTAATGCAACATGTTTTGAACCAAAGCAGCAACACTAATGTAGAGCTTCAGAAAACTAAAGGTACAGAAACAAATGACCAAGCTACAGACCCTACTGAACCCAACGAATGAATTACAAGGCTAAAGTGGTCCTACCTTTCTTCTTAAAAAAAAGGATGATAACAACTCACAAGGCTTTAAAACAAAGAAGAAGCTCAATTTAGTCTGCAAGAAACTAAGGAAGCAGCCAACACATAAAGTGGAAATTTAGTATGCAAGACATATAACACATCCTGCAGACCTGAACCTGATTCTTACCCACCAAACAAAAAGCCAAATAAAAAAGCTCAAACAAAAGATCATCTGGTTGGACCATGGATTAAATAATGGATGAGAGTTTATTCACTGAAATCCGAATCATTTTTTTTAAGAATAGAAGGATAACTCAGTTCCCGAAAAGGTGATATAATGTCAGTCCAAACTTGCAGACTAAAAATATAAGATTTCGCTCAGCTAGAGTTTACTTAATACTGAGACACAAATAGCAAGTGCAAGTAGAGGTAATCCTCAGCAAATGGAGAACTCCTAGTCCTTGTGAGTTGTGACCAAATTCATTAAACATAAAACATTCAACAGAAGGATAAGGAACATTCCATTCTTTCATATATTTGAGGTACCAGGAACTAGAGTAAGGAACGTTACCAGTAGTAACAGAATAGGACAACCGAAGTAGTTGCATTTCTAATACTAAAAAACAAGATAATGCATTACTATTTCGTTGGCAAGCAGATGGTCAAACCAAGAGATGATGCAAAGTGTTGTTTCCAGAAGACACGACTGCATGTGTATGCCTGAATATAATCCTGATGATGCACTGCACCAGCAAAACCACCTTAGAACATGGCTGTCAACCGGTAAAGCTAGCTTGATGTATCACTCCAGTATGAGTAGTGCAAAATCAATCCACCCCCATAACTCAAGAAATCAAATTTAGACCCTTCAATGTGTCCTTCAAATGTCAATCAAGCTAGAGATAATAATCTGAAAGTTTTAGTATGGAGCTGATTTATATATTAAAGAATGCAAGATCACATATGGAGTGTCCTTCAATGTGTCTCGACAAAAATATTTTGCTTCCATTAACAGAACTGAAGGCCCCACAATGAGTAAATTGAATATTTCAATATAACAAAAATTAGCGCATGGCAATACTGATTTTTAATGATACAGACTGGACTTGCATAGCACCGTACACATTGCTACCTTTGACTAAGAGAAATCTAACAACCATGATTGTTTTCCATTTTTTAGCCATCTAGACAAAATCAATTTTCCATTCTCTTACCATCTAACTCGATGGAAGCAACTGACCAAAATGCTCCCAACTAAGCACTAAACAAGCAAGCAGCAAGCATATACCTCTATCAATTATTCCTTATCCACTCCTACATGAGCACAGCAAGCTAGCACCTCCCTACACCCCTCTGCACCTGGGCAAATTTCTCTCTTTCTCTGTGCTACTTATTCATCACAAGCAGATCAACATCAGGCCAGAAGTAGCAACTTCTCCCTCTGCTCTCTATTTTTTCCCCAAAATTAGATGAAGCATCCGAGCTACAGCAGTCCAGAAGCTAGCAGCTACAGCACTACGAGCTCAGATCTGGTCGACCGACCCATGATTCTATCCCTCCCACAGCTGGCCCCGCTGGCAAAAAAAAGCCCCACCTGCTATAAATACTTGGTGGCCGGTCATTTTAGGTCTCTTGGCACCCATGGCTGATATTGAGGCATTCATAGATCTCAAGCAACACACTTCACTCGATCACTTTGCGTCGCTGGAGATTGCATTTGTGTGAGATTGGAGAGGATTCTAGTCCTTTGCATTGAGAGTTTGCATCTAGTGGCACTAGAGAATTGTTGTTGCTGCAGATTTCTTATTACTCTTGATGGTTGTGGCCATCTAGATGATTTGGTCTTGGTGGTGATCCGTCAAGGGCCGATGGTGATTACGCGAAGACTCCGTATATTGGCTTGTGAGGGGCTTTGTGCTCATCCCCGTGTGATATTCATGAAGACTAACTCTTGGAAACAAGAGGCTTAGAGAGTGCCTTGGTGACAAGTCATCTTCTACACAAGTGCCCACGTCGGGGGCTGAGCTTGTGTGCTCGTGAGGCCCGTGAAGCTGTAGTCTAAGGAACTTGCCTCAACATGGAGTAGATTGCCGGCAAGCAACCAAACCTCGGGGTAAATCTTATCTCACTTGTCCTCATTGGTTTGCTTCACTTTATACTTGCAATTACTTTCATTCTTGTGCTTGTATAGTTGTAGTGGTAGCTCTTCTAGTCGAGTAGCATAGCACAGTTAGTTGTTTTTCCTGTAGCTCAGTTAGTTGAGTGGCTAGCCTCTTGTAGTTTGTGTGCTCTAGTGGTAGTGGTATTTCTTACTACTAGACTTGTGTAGGATTCTTGCATTGAAGTGTTTAGGCTAGGCAAGTAGTTGCTATTAGGTTTATATCTAGTACTAATCATTTGGCCTAGTGTCTTTGTCTTTAAAGAAAATTTTAATAGGCTATTTAACGACCCCCTTCTAGTTATCCATAAATCCTTTTAAACTATAGGGTGTGATAGACAATTTCTATATGCCAATATGACTTTTATGTCTGAATAAATTTGAACTAAACTATCTTATTTGAAATCATGAATTTGAATATGTTTCATTTTTATTGTTTACAAATATTTAAATTTGAATTATAGTGATGCGATACCAAGGATATATATGGATACTATATTAAAATATGGGAAAATTCAATAGAGGCTAAGATGTATGGATGGGTTTGTTGGAGTTGAGTGTTAAAAATAGAACCCTGCAAAAAATAGAGGGAGGCCCTACTAAAAAGTAGGGCTCTATTTTAATGGTAACCATTGGAGATGCTTGGTTTTATGGACTATGTCTAAGATAAAAAAAAAGGAGAAAATAAAAAGACGCCTCTGAAAATTATTTACTCTGTATGTAACAGTGTTACAAATCATGCATGCATGTAGCAGTGAAGTGATACTCGATTTGCACCACCAGTGAACTTTTTAGTCGTCGTTGACTACTAGAGCCACAAACTAATTTATGGACCACAAATTAAATGACAAAGCACATGTATATATTACTCATGATGAAGCGTAAAACTTATCTTGATATTGAATTCTTGATACAAGCCAATAAAAACTGACCCCCATCGCGAAGTAGTTAACTTTGGATGTGTGATGCAAACCGTATAAATGAGGTTCACTTTCACATCACAGCACAAGAAGAAAAGGATTGTAATAAAGAAAATAAGGGAGTAATTAAATAGCCCCCCCTTCTTTCAGGGAAAAAAAAAACAATAATGCATTGTAGCATTTTTGCTTCCATCCAAAGAAAAAGTCTTGGTGAAAGGAAGACGACTGGTGGTGCTGGATGGCGCCGCCGGTGGTTTTAGGTCGCCGCGCTAGCTGTCCAGTGGCTACACAGTGCAGGATGGCACGGCCTTGGGTGTGGCAGCTCTGACGAGTGAGAAGGTGGGCAGCGGCAGGCTGCTTGGCGGCGGCGCGAGCGCGTGCATGAGGTCCTCGACGAACCCCGTGGTGAACTGGCGCTCCAGGTCGTCCAGCGCCTCGTGAACCGCGGGCGCGGGCGGCAGCGGCGTGGCCCGCTCCAGCGGCTTCCTCCGCTGCGCCCTAGGAGGTTCTTCCTCGACCCTCGGCGTCCGCGGCGGCTTCTTCCTCTTGTACTCTCCTAAGCCCGCCGTCCTCCTCGGCGCCGCCGACGGCTTTCCCTTAGCAGCAGCGGCCGGCGCCGACGCGGCGTGCTTGGTCATGGTCGCCGCTACCGCCGGCGGGAGCGGGAGGCGAGGCGTGAGGCGCCGAGGATGCAGCGGAGGGAGGGAGAGCGACGAGTGCAGGTATGGCGGGTACTGGAACGGTGGCAGCGGCGAAACGTACGGGATGGAGCTGTAGATGCTGCGAGACTCAGGCGGCAGCGCGCTCATGGCGAAGCTCCGGAAGTCGTCGCCGGCCGCCCACCCCCGGAACTCAAAGCCGCTGGCTGATCGGTTCATGATGAGGACATTGTCCATCTCAATACTAGGGAAGAGTGGAGAGAGGGAGGCGAAGAGAGCAGAGCAGAGGCAGCAGGGCTGGGGTGCCAAGCCGCTTGCTTCTCGCTCCCTGCCGGGCAAGGGAAGGGCTATCTCCGCGGTGACGCCGCGCTGGCTCTTATAACGGACTTCTTGAGGGGGTGGCGCGGTTGACTTGGAAGTCGACGGCTTGAGTTGGTTATTAGCAAGTGCTTCGCGCGTGCCAATCTTTTAATCACACAGCTGATATTGTTTGTTGCCCCTCTAGGATCTTGCTAAATACCTTATTATCTGTGCAAGATCTTCCGAAAGCAAAATCTTGACGACAGATACCTGAACGGCATGGAAATATCAAAGGCTAGGAAACCTCTAGGGGCTTCCATGCAAACCAGCGTCTGCAATCAACTTGCACGGTTGGGTAGAAAACAAGTCCACCGACCAGTACGGCGTGCCAGCTACGGACCCAGCCGTCCTTGATGACCACAACACAACTGCAGCCATCCTACGACAGCGACGGGGCCACCTACCGCGTCGTCACTGACGGTGGGTCCAATTTGTCCATTGGCCCCGCATGTAATTGAATCAGGCGCCACAGGATCGCCCGTGTGGCTGTGGGTGTTCCCGGCAGTAGTGGCAGGAATCGTGCCGGCATGTGCGCCCGAGGCGACCAACCGCCAAAGCGACGCCGGCCGTCGGATGCGGATCTCGGGCGGTGGCGCTGACGCCGATCTGACCGCCCATCCTGCTGCGTTGCCTGACGCGCCATCATCGCCTGACGCCTGTACGTACTTGCCTGTACATGTCATAGCTTGCTGGCCCCACCGCATCGGCTTGTGTATGAGGGCTCTCGGTGTTGGGAGCAATTTGTGCGTCACATCTCATATGTATGATATTGATTAAGACTTCCTTAGTTCCTTTCATGATTCGAGTAGTACCATAAATGGCCACGCACAATGGATTAGTACTCCATCCCAAAATACAAGGACATCTTATATCTTAGCGAGTTAAACTTTTCTTAAAAAAAATTGACTATGAACATAAAAAACAATATCAACATGTGTATGTGCCGATCATCATCTATAGAAGTAGGATTACAACAAAACTCGTGCATCCGGACTTCGACCGTGCCAACCAGCCCCAGCTTAGCCCTCTCGTGTTTTATGGGCATGGTTGCGGGGGTAACCCCAGGTATCCACGGCAATAGACATGGACCGCACCGCCAGGAGAGGTCCAGCCCATAAGATTAAGGCCTACGGTGCCCAGTTCTGGTCGGTGTGCACCGCAAGTCAATCAGAAGACATCTTGGCGATGAAGGAAGATCTTTTCGGATATGATAGATATTGTATTCCTCGTAAATACTTACCATATAACCGAATAGTTCTAGGCTAGACCGACTTGTAACCCTACCCCCAGACTATATAAGGCGCATAGGGACCCCCTCGAATTCATCTCATATTCAATACAATCCAACAAAGACACAAGACGTAGGGTATTACGTTGATCGGACGGCCCGAACCTATCTAAATCGCTGTCTCTGCGCCTTGTGTCACCATCCGGTTCCTATTACGCGCACCTCCACCGATCATCTACTACCGTGGGTATACCCCTCGGTAGACTGCCGACCAGATTTCATTGACAGTGGCGCGCCAGATAGGGGGTGTGCGGGCTAATCCTGTGGTAAACCAGATGGTGCCATCCGTGGCAATTTAGCTTCTGGCGGCGGCGTCCTTCACCTACGATGGAGTCGTCGTCTTGAGGCTCTTGCGTCGTCTTGACGTCGCTGTGCGAACTCATCGTCAAGTCAGCTATCTGCGGCAGCGTCTCCGGCGTCGTATACATGGGAAGCAAGCCGAGATTTCAACAAGATCAGATCCGCTTCTCAGCTTCAATAGCATCATCAAAAGCAGCGTTTCGAATCTACTCCCGCAGATTTGGCATTGGGCACTACTTCTGCGAACCACGGCATCAGTTCATCGGGACCCTACAGGACTAGATTGGATTTGCATGTTGGTTGTTGCTGGCTACCAGTCCACCGCATGCATCAACGGTCGGGTGCAAGCTGTCAGGCAAGCAAGAAATCAAAGGTTGTGTGATCTACAGTGCCATGCAAGCTAAAGATAGTCAATATCTCCATCAGGCTCGCATGTGCTCATGTATCGCCGTAAGGCATACAAGCAGAGATGCCTCGCGGACGAAGGTTATGACCTGCTCGGCGAACAGATCTGACCATATCCCCTGGATCATGTGTTTCAATCTACAAAGCGCCTGGTCCATGAGCAACCACCTCGTCTCGATCGTGAACCACTTCATCAGCGGCATCAGCAAGCACCGTGCCGGGATCGACTCACCTGGTGCCGATTCCGACTCTGCCCGCTGAGCTCGACTCTGACTCCGTCTCGATCGAGAACTCTGACTACATCAAGCTGCCAAGCGAGCCGCTAAGCGAGCCGTCCGAGTCGCCGACCAGCGTCATAAGGACGACGTCGTCCGGACTACTCGCTCCAACTGCCTGCCACGTCACAATATTGATAGCCGTGAAGAACGGCGCTATGATGACCGCGACCACCGCCATGACGACAGGCTGGAAAGCTCGAGGACCGGACAATTTCGTCGACGCCGACCAGATAACGTCATACGCCGCCGATCAGATATTTTGACTAAAGCTAAGTACCTCTACTATATCTACATTTAATACAACTTTCTCCAATTATTTTCTCCGAGTTTTCGCCATGCTCCTCCAATTATTATTTCTCCGGTGACTTTCATAATTAAATGTCTCCACGTTTAATATATCTATGTTTAAGATGTTCCATAATGCAATATCCGACCAGTTGATCGGACTGTTCAGCGCTCACTTCTACTCGGCGCTCACTTCGCCGCCGACCAGTTGGTTGGGCTGCTCGGTGTCCGATTCTTCGCCAACCAACTGGTCGGATTGTCTATCGCTTCATCGTCAGCTACGCTTAGGGAGAACCAGATGGGAATTTTCCATCATCATCACCATCTACGGCGACGACTCAGCTTCGTGAGACGACGATCTCAACTCAAGGCTCTGAGGCGCATCGCTCTTCGTAAGAGTTCTCCGGAGGCCCAACGTTGCTCTTCGTCGGCACTAATCAAGGAGACGGCTACATGCAGCAAGACAGCAGCATGCAGGTCAACTTCAAGAATTTGGCTGCATCACCCGACATCGACTCGTCATCATCCTTCGGCGGCGCTCGTCAGCCCTCATCGACGGCTCGCGTGGTCGCTATCGACTCGATATTACAAGGCAACTCACGACGACGCATTGTGATTTTCACTAAGATCAACGTCGACAAGCAAAGGACGACCCTCAAGCATGCATGCAAGAAATAAATTCCCTTGCTGCCGATCTACACTCATGAAACGTGACTCTAACATCATCAATCCAAACGAGCTAAGTTATGGTTTTTTCCATTGAATATTCTAACATATATATAACTTTGTCTACCTTGATAGCTGTCAACAGCAGCGGCGGCCCTGTGCTTTCTCCATTTGTTTTCCATAAATTTTCTCAAATTACTTATTTCTCCATGCTAAACATCTTTAAGATGATGTATACAATCGCCATTCAAATCGAACTGTGCCCTCGCCTTGGTCGGACACGCTCAAGGGCTTCGCCTCCCCACGTGAATTGACTCCGCCAGGCTTCGATTACGCCCGTTTGCCTACGACTCTGCGTAACCGCCGTGTTGCCGAGCCACCATTGAAAGCCCTAGTTTGGTTTTGGATAATTGATGAAACCTAGCACTAACCTTTGTCATGAGTTGTGATATGAGTTAGGTTGGTGCAATGCAAGTAATTGAGCAAGATGAGGTCCATGGTGATGAAGGTGGACATGTGTTGTAGCAGAACCGCCTAATCTAAGGCCTCCCAGGAGTACTTGTCTTCCATTAGATACTAAGTACTCAAGGGAGGACACTAAGTTACGCAGTTCTGTCGAGTATACCCCAAGGGAGAACCCAAAAATCCACATTTTTTCATCAGGATCACAAATGAGAGAATAAAGCTTACAACATTCTTAAGTCATTTCTTACATCACTTTCCATGCAACATCATATTATAATATTTATTGTCTATAACAGCGGAAAATAACCATGTTATCAGAGTTTTAGCGGAGATAAAATCATTTAATGACAAGTTAAACCTTAACATGATGATCTGTTATATCCATCATAACAGGTAATAAGTTTTTCCATTGGAAAACATTTTGGGTGGAAGTTTCAAATAAACTCTATGTCCGCAATGTTAAGGAAATCCTCACTGAGTCCACTAGGAGGTTTCCACACGCAAGTGTCAGCTCTATAAGTTCCTGTCACCTGCAATAGGGTAGAACAAACCCTGAGTACTCAATTGTACTCCGCAAGACTTACCCATCAGGAGGAACAAAAAGACTCCAAAGATATGCAAGGCTATTTGGCTTGTGGGTTATTGCAGTTGCAGGAAGCATTACTAAGCATGCGTCATTATATTCAAGTTCATTAACAGTCATCATTAGTTCATTAACTACCATTCTATGTAAGTACCTGTGCTACTTTCAAGCAGGTGGTAAGCAATCAGAACTATTTTTTCCATCTTTCATATTCCAGTTCTTACTATAGTGCTAGATTATAGACAAGTCGTACCGGATTACCCGGCGATTCACGAATCAATGTGCCCAGCTGGGTACCCCGAAACACACGCCCTGCTTGTACCCTAAGCACAAGCAGGACCAACCCACCACTCTCCCTTCAAGGGGTCTAGGTCCCCGTCCAAACTTGGACTCCAAGCTCCCACACCTGAGTCTCGGACTCAGTGTGGTGCTTAGACCTTCACCATCCCCACCTCCAATCAGTTAGTCCGGAAAGAGCCGGAACCCACGACAAGAGAGCAACGAGCCTTCTCTGCTCACATAAACAAGTATGTGCTTAGGATAATAAGTCTGTGACCTGCATAGAACCTAATGCAACGGCCGGTCCTTAACCGACACGGGTGGAACA